TGTGTGTGTGTTTTGGGGTGTTTTATTTTTGCTTTCATACGGGAAAGAAAATGTAATGATAAAAGTCTATTGTTCTTTCAAACACGGTCGATTCTGACACACTGTTGTGTGAGAATGATATACGTCTGTATTAGTTTACAGTGTGTGGGCGGAAAGCTGTAGGAAATGAATACACACCCGCTCGCGCATACACGCATACACAAGCGCATAAACACGCACACATTAAAGTGCGTGCGCACACATAAACACACATATATAAACATACACATATAGACACACACACACAAACACACACACACACACACACACACACACACACACACACCTTTCCCCACTTTCATATAATACATAATATATTCACTCTCTCTATCTTTACCTATCGTTAGCACCAGTTAGCTACTCACTCACCCAAAAATATCGCACTCAGTCACTCACTCACTCACCCCTAAACTATTACGATCCTTAAATAACCACCCCCACCCCACCCCCACACCGCCCCCGTATCTCCCTGACTAACCATTTCCCTCCCTCTAGTACCCAGATTTAACAACCTAACGAAATTACCCTATCAGTAAATAGCAGCTCGGCGCGGACATAGAAACACGCACAACTTCATTGGTGGCTAATTTTCAAACTGGCAATACAACAGACCAGCCTCCCAAATACAACCCTTTCTTCGTCAATTTGCTCCCTCTCTCTCCAGAAGCCTGCATGAAAATTAGATTCTTGATAAATAGATTTCTAGCTTTCATGTCCTTCTGCCCTAAGGGATGTCGGTCCTATTTAAATGCAAATTATTTTCTTTCCTCCCACCGGCGTTTGAGAGAGTTGCGCTCCTTTTCCGGGGCCACTAATGTAATTTTGACAGCCATGAAATACATTTAGTAACAAACTTTGCCTTTCTTCCGCGGGCAGCCATTGTGGGGTTCTTTCTGGGTTGGTAAAGGGCCAATTTAGCTCCGGTAACAATTAATAACAGGACGACTGAGGGGCGAGGGGTGAGGGGGACGAGAGCGCGCGTGAGGGGGGAAGGGCTGCGCTCACTTCGAGGCAAAGACATTACAAGTGTTTTCGTGGGAGCGAGTACGGGTCTAGGTTAATTTTTTTTTTGAAGTTTTCAAAAGAGTTTTACGGCATTTACAACACAAAG